TTTCAGATCTGAAAGATCTGTAGTGCTATTCACAGAATATGAAAATATTTCACAAGGCAACGCTGAACTGCCGTTTCAAAGCAATTCTAAAGTGTTGGTGAAATTTCAGAGATTGGTGGAATTTTAATCGATAATCAATATACATGTGCATTGGTAATTAAGAAAATATAAATACCTTCACGTTATCAAGATTTCCCTGTGAAGAAACGACTTATTAATTTCTGAACAGATTGTATCAATTTGCACCTGAAAGTATGCGAGGGTTCCATTTAAAAAAAACAGTTAAATATTGAAAATATTTCTCAATCCCGATGACTTTCAAAATATTTGCAATGTTGTTTACGACATCTGTGATCACAGTATGTGTAAAGTATGCACCATACTTAGATGCATGTGAGTAACGTTGCTACCAAGTGAGAAAGGAAAACCAATGACATATAAAAATTAGCAGTCACCTTGTAATTAAATCATTTGTGATTACGCAGATATCATTTAAAAATAGTCTCCTTTGCAGCATTTTTATTTTGATGCTTAAATCTCTGTAATCAACAATTTAAGTTGCTTCTCTCATAATATAACGCCGTCAAATTGAAATTTAAAAATCCTCTTGATAATATTGATTATAAATAATATTTTATTTATAAAACAAATATTGAAAGAAATATTCTAAATCTAAAATAGATTTTAGTAATTAATAAAACCACAAATTTGTATTGCCATATACATATATTGTTACATATATTGTAACATATACTGTTCTTTGGCTCTAGTTAACATTGTGCAACGATGGCACAAAGATTACTTACACAGTTACATTAATGATTCAGTAAGTGGTATTTTTAATATGCACAAAAGTGAAAGGGGCGATTGCTATGTAGTATATGTTTTCAAAGTGTCCTAGAAAACTCCTGAAACCAAAAGAAAAATATAATTACACGCAAATCTTTCCATTCACGATTCTTAATTGCTCTGTTATTTCCTTTGAGTGATTAAAAAGTTTCTATTGCAACAATTAATGATTCGCATTATCTCGATCATATACTCCTGTCACATTCATCTATGATAAAATATTAATTATGAATTAATATTCTAGGAAAATCCACTTAAAATGATTAGAGAAAAACATCCTGAGAAAATAGAGAAGATCGTATTGGTAGAAGGTGACACAACTTGTAACGATCTTGCTTTATCGTCTGACGATAAGCAAAAACTAATAGACAAAGTTTCCGTTGTTTTTCACGCGGCAGCAAACATCAAGTTCGACTTGACGCTTAAGGAGGCGGTAACGATAAATACACTGGGTACCAAAAATGTTATAAATCTTGCAAAACAGGTAAACACTTATTAATGATTCAAACACAATATCATTAATATATAACAATTCTTAATTTTATAGATAGAATTATTAACTAAATAATTTTAACTAAATAATATTAACTAAATAATAGTTAATATTATTTAGTTAAATAGTAATATAATATTAACTAAATAATTTTATAATATATTTATAGATAGATTATTAACTAAACTGAAGTAGATTGAACTTCTGATTTTCTTTTTACAATAGATCATTTTTACTTTTACTATTACTTTTACGATACGTATTATAATAGATGTAGGTTTTAATCTGTTTCAATATCATTCGAATTTCTGACGAGAGAAACTTAAAGATCCGTTATTTGTAGCTACCTCATTTAAAATCCTTCATTCATATTTCTACTTCGTACTGTCATTGCGATGAAACGGTGCTCGAGGAGAGATATTACCAGAGCCATATAGATCCCGAGGAAGTCATAGAAATGATAAATAACATACCGAATAACGTTCTAAGAGCAATGACACCGAAATTATTACGAGGATTACCGAACACCTACGCCTTTAGCAAGGCACTCGCTGAGAGTTTAGTGCAAAAATGTAGCCTGCCTGCAGGCGTTATAAGACCTTCCATAGGTAAATATAACTTTTTCTTAATCAAATAAATGCCTAAACAAACTTTTACTACTCTCCCATGAAAAAGATAGGGAATATAACTTACCATGTTCTCCTCTTACTATTTTTGTATAATCATTTTTGTATACCAAAATAAATAGTTATCACTTTTATTTTAGTGATGGCATCATGGAAAGAACCAAAACCTGGTTGGATAGATAGCTTTAGTGGACCAACAGCTTTAATGGTAGGTGCTGGGAAAGGAGTAGTTCGAACGATGCTCTGTAATTACAAGTACGAAATAAACATAATTCCCTGTGACATGGCAATTAATACGATTATTGCACTAGCATGGAAAGTAGGGAGAGAAGATCCTGAGAAACCAATATTTATGAATGTTACCAATGATACCGAAAATCCAATTTCTTGGGGTTATGCTGTAGATACTGGCAAGAAATATACTTTAATGTATCCATTTACAGGTGAATGAAAGTATTGTATAATATGTTGTTTGACATAATCAATCTATTTCTAACTAAAATATTTTTTCATTTGTTTTGTTCTAATTTTTCTCTAGGTCTACTTTGGTATCCAGGTGGAAGTATCACTACATTAAGGTGGTTCCACTGGTTGCGTGTAATCCTGTTTCACTACATACCAGCGTTGTTCATAGATCTGCTTGTTTTTCTAACAGGGAACAAACCGTTTTTAGTAAAAGTGCATAACAAAGTTAATATTGGCATTGATCTAATACAATATTACACCACCAAACGATGGGAGTTTCGGTAATTATGCAGAAACATTCCCATAAAATAATAATAATGTAACAAAACTAATATGATAATTATAACGAGATATAATAATAGAAGTAATTTAATTTTTTTGCTTTCAGAAACGACCGTATGAAGGAATTGCAAGCTGAATTCAATTCCTCCGACAGAGAAGAATTCTTTATGGATACAAAAGCAATAGTCTGGGACGATTATCTATTAAATTATGTGTTAGGTACTAGATTGTATTGCTTGAAAGATGATCTTTCTACTATACCTCGCGCACGGAAAGTTCTTTGGTATCTATATTTTGCCGATTGGTTCGTTAAAATCAGCCTCACAATTTTCTTCGTTTGGTTTATTTATTCGTGGATAAATCCATTCAAGGAACGAATTGCAACCGTTATTGAAATTAACGAGATTTAGATTTCCTGTAAATTAAAAAAATATTTGTTTAATTTTATTTCTTATTGTTGATGAAATCGAGAAACATTTACAAATATACGATAAATAATGATTTCTTTAATAGTGTGTAGCTTTTATATAGTTAACACCTGCAATTGCAATTTTTTTAAAGTACTTATTGTATTATAAATAATGTTTTTTTAATTAAGGCTGTTTTTAATAATTTAAAGAATTGACAATTTTCTAACGTTAGTAATACCTGTTATATTAGTTTATAATAGTGTTTATAGGAATTTGATTCTAATATACTTAAATAAAATCAATAAAAATGTCCTGTTTCTAAATCAGTCTTTGAACGTTAATTTTTTAGTATTTTCTCTTTTTTATTGAAATGATTGTGTAATGTTTCCTGCTATTATGTAATACTTATTGTTAGAGTAAAGAATGGAGAAGAGACTGGAGAAAAGATTATAGAAGAGACTTTCGAATAACGAAAACGTCGAGATTCACAAATCTCTTTAGACGAATTAATCGCGTGCTGACATTTGAAAATTTCGAAATTCGCGCTCCCTCGTCAATGCGTGAGCGCGCGCAATCACTTTGCACACAAACATTTTGAGCAATGTTTAAAATTAAAAAAAAAAAAAGAAATTTTCACTTCTTCACGGAGTATATACTTTACTCGCGAAGCACTAATAATAATGTCAATAACAGTAATACGCGTAATATTTCCTTAACCTAAAAAAATATTCTTAGCAAATATAGATCCTATTTCAATTTCTGTTTTCCTTTTCTTTTTCAAAAAAATTACATTTTTTAAATAGTTTTTGAAATTTTATATATATAATAAGAATATACCGATTATCATTCTGGAATATTTCATGATTTGCGTGTATAAAAATTCACTGATCATCTCAATGAACATTTTGAACATTGACAAGAGAGTAATCGATGATAACGATAATGTCCATTATATTTACGAGTTATATAAGGAACGAAATTACCTGACAAGTTTACAAAGTTACGTAAGACTTACTGCTTAAATTACAAATACTAATAAAACTTTCTGAACAGAGACCAGAAAGAATATAAATCTTCTATTTGTAGATTCAGAGAAAAATGTTTGCAGTTTATAAATGTATTTACAGAATATCCAAATGTGCGATATTTTGTAAATACATTTTCTGTTTGTACATAATAAATACTCAATATTCAATAGAATATTATCCTATCAATTTCCAGTCTTTTTCATATATATATATATATATATATATATATA